GGTGAAGATTAACTTCTCGATTTGCGGGTAACGGACCTCGACTTCATGTAATGCCTTGCTTATGTAATAGATCAGATGTTGGTTCAAATTCTCCTCCCGAACGAGTACGGCGCTTATCGCGGTCGGGGTTACTCCGAGGTATAGATACAGCATCTCTCTCGGGGTCGGCTTTTGGAGGACGGGGGTCGAACGAGCGACTCCATGATGTAGTCCAGCGCATGTTGGCATTCGTCCGTCCATTCGAATTTTTTATTCTTTTTAATAGCCTCGAAGAAGGGCTTACATTTGTCCATAGACTTTGATATGAATCGGTTTAAAGCTGCTAATCTACCCGTTAGACTTTGCGTTTCCTTTATTGACCTAGGGGGTTTTAGTTTGAGTATCGCTTTACTCTTGTCGGGGTTTGCTTCGATTCCCCTTTGACTAACAATGTACCCTAAAAACATACCCGAACCTACCCCAAACGTACATTTTTTGGGATTTAACACCATGGAGTAATCGCGCAAAATAGAAAACATTTCATTAAGATGGGCTACATGATAGTTCGCAAAAACAGATTTAACAAGCATATCATCCACGTAATCCTCCATGGTTCGTCCGATCTGATCTGCAAACATCTTATTCACTAGTCTCTGGTAGGTTGCGTCGACATTCTTGAGACCGAATGGCATCATGGTGTAGCAGTAGAGTCCTCTGGCCGAATAGAAAGATGTGTGATCCTCATCGTTCGGGTCCATTGGGATCTGGTGGTACCCCAAATAGGCATCCATGAAGCTCATGAGTTTGTGTCCGGACGTCGCATCCACCATGTAATCGATGCTGGGCAATGGATAACTGTCCTTGGGACAGGCCCTATTGAGATCGCTGAAGTCGACACATAATCGCCATGTCCCGCTATTCTTCTTTACCAGAACCGGATTGGATACCCAAACCGGGTACTTAGCCTCGCGTACGAACCGGTTGTCAATCAGCTTTATCACCTCGCCCTCGAGTGCTTCTTGTCGCTCCGGTCCCAGCTTCCTCCTTTTCTGCACGATCGGTTTCACCGTTCGGTCAACCTGAAGGCTATGACACGCTAAGTTTGGATCGATCCCCACCATATCTTCATGCGTCCAGGCGAAGACGTCTGCGTTTTCGATCAAAAAGGCAATTAACCTGGACCGGATGGGCTCGCCTATGTTTCATCTGATGCGCAATGACTTGGTGCAGGCCGGTTCATCAAGATAGATCACCTCCGTGTCTTCGCTGGGTTCGGCCTGTTCAGATTTCCTTCCTTTGAATTGATCTCGGGGGTCCAACTCATCTTTTTCTTTGATTGGTTCTTTCCCTGGTCGTCGGCCCCGGTCTGCCGTTCGGTCCTCCTCATCGAACGGAACGTGCTCCTCCTGAGTGGATTTTTGGTTTCGTTCTCCATCCGGGTAGGAGTGATTAGCCTCCGATTCTTTCACAGCTTTCTCGACCTGTTCCTCTCTCAGGGGTGAGGGTGTGTTTGCGTTTGATAACGTCGGCTAGGGGCATTCGTCTTCCTCTTCTAGGCCCTCGATCGGCTCTTCCCTCATCCTCTTTCTTTCATTTGTGTGTCCTTCGGCCGCACTGTCGTCGGGTTGTTCTGGCGGGACTTCTTCATCTTGCTCGTCCGACTGTTCCGGTTCTCCAATTGGTTCGGTGATCAGTTTCTCTTCCCCGTTCGTCATCATGACCGAGTGTATCTCTAATGATAGGATCGCCATGATGTACTCTCTTGCTTCCCTTTGGTTACCGTAGTGGACTCCTGTACCGTTCTCAGTTGGGAACTTGATCGAATAGTGGAAGATTGATACGGCTGCCTTCAGTTTGTACAGGGCTGTTCGTCCAAGGATGACCAAGGATGGCGTCCAAGGATGGCGTTCTCAGTTGGGAACTTGATCGAATAGTGGAAGATTGATACGGCTGCCTTCAGTTTGTACAGGGCTGTTCGTCCAAGGATGGCGTTATACTCGCTGGCCGTTTTCACCATTTTGAAAGTCTCCATGATCCTGCGTCCGTTGGCTCTTGATCCTTCGAGCTCGATTGGTAATGTGATTTCTCCTTCCGGAATGGTTGCTTGTCCGTTGAAACCTGTTATGTGGTCGTTGCACGGGCACAGTTCGCTTCGATCTATCCCTATTTTAAGAAATATGCGGTCAAATACAAAATACTTGAATACGCCCCAGTGTCCACAATGATTCGGTGAACTGGGATTCGGAAGATGAGGGCTGTGATTACGAGCGCGTCTGAGTGCAGATTATCGAATGGGAGAGAATCTTCATCCGAAAACATTATTAAGTTCGTGGGCATGGGCACGTGCCGGTTGACCTCCGCTCGGCTGACTTGGTGTCCTGTGTTGTATGCCTTCCGGACGTATGCCTTGACCTGCCTTCTTGACACGCTTGTACTTTCTCGGCTCGTATTGACCCTCGTGGGCGGTCCGCTTCTTCGGATTGGGATGTGAACCGAATGCTCCTCGTCTCGCCCGGATGTTGTCCTTTTCCTTCCCCCGGATGCACTTGTCTCACCTCGTTGCTCCTGACTGATCGTCAAGATTTCATTGGGATGTCCGTTCGTTCTCCGAGGATTCGCTCCAAAGTCGAGCTCGTCTCCTGGGTTCATTCGGTCGTCGTTTCTTGGCCTCCGGTTGCCTCCGTCCATCCTAGTGAACCTCCTTACCTGCGGATCATCAATTAGTTTTAACAAAGCAGATATCAAATTCCGACACTGGTCGGTATTGTGGCCGTGCGATTTGTGGTAAGTGCAATATCGGCTTTTGTCTAAATTCTCCTCGTCGGCCCTGATCGGTTTAGGGTCTGGGATGATCCCCTTGTTTTTCAGCTCTTCGTACATCACGGCCGCACCGGCCGAATACACTCCCTGATAGCTGTTCGTGAGTTCCTCGTGATGTTTCCTCTGCATGGCTCGGAATTGGGCACTCATTCCGTCCTTCGTGAACTCCTTGTTCGGTCGAGATTCCTTCGCTTTAGTAGGTGGTTCGTTCAGGGCTGGAAATGACGGGACGAACATGTTTTTTTCTGCCATGATATGCTGTTGAGCTTTCATCAAAAATTCGTGGTACGTCTGGGGTTTGTTTTGGCAAAGGGTCCATTTGAACATCGAATTTTGTCTCAACCCTGAATATGCTGAAACGAGCAGGGTCTCTGATGGCACGGTTCCATGTTTTTTACCCGTTCGTTGAAACGAGTGATATAATCCTTCAAATTTTCGTCCGCTCCTTGGACAATATGAGTGATCGATTCTTTGGGAATTCGGCATGCCTGGGATCCGATAAAGTCTGTTCGGAACATTGGCTTCAATTGTGACCACCTAGCGACCGAATGTGGGGCGAGCGAATGGTACCATCTTTGCGCCTTTTCTCCCAGAGTTAATGAGAACATTCGGCAGCGGCGGGCGTCCGGCGCTCCATGCAGGTCCATCCACAACGTTTATAGTCCCAGGTGGGTGTCCGGGTCAGATGTTCTGTCATAAAATCCAATTTGTGGGATCTTGATCTTCTCGGGTAACTGTTCCTGCAAAATATCAAATGTTAGGGGTGATTCGGATTCGGCTGGGCTGAACTCGGTTCGTGCCCTTGAGGTGGTCGCGGCTCGCTTGAGAGGGACTTCTGTCAGGTCTTGTCCGGTGGAGGCAAGTCGTTTTTGGGCCGAACGTCGAGCTTCGAGTTCGGCTATTCTTCTTCGGAGAGTTTTCATTTCCTCTTCTTCGGCTTGGTCGTTCGCTTTCTGAGCAATGTTTTCCTCAAGTCGTCGTCGGCCACATTTTTTCCCAGCCGTTTGAAAACTGACCGGGTGGTGTTGCGGGTTCGAGTGTCCGTGACCGAGCAACTTTCGTTTGTCTGTTCATTTTCTGTCCGGGTGGTAGATTTTTCCTTCGTGCTCCCGGGCGATCGAGTGGTCTCTTCATGAACGTCCGTTTTCTTGCCTTTGAGAGTGTTGGTAAGGTCTTTCTTGGCTGGGGTTTTGGGTGCTTGAGACGTAGAGGGTCGGATCTGTGTTATCAAGTTTGATATTCCCTTAACAAAATTTGGGTCTTTGAAAAAGGCTGAGTAGTCCGTCCTCGTAGTTTGGTTGTTTTGCCGGTCTTCCCTTTCCTCCGGCGTGTCTCGGCGGCGACTTTGGCTTGATGATGATGAAGTTGTTTTTGACATGCTGGAATAGCCCTTCCTCTAGCGCCAAGTGTTGATGTCTAAAAATGACCAACAATGTGTTCGAACTGCACACTAAGATGTATGCTTTGTTCGATCTGCACGAATAGTATTTGTGAATGTGATTCGGTCTAATTTATTGGTCCGAATGCTCAGGCTATCCGTGACTTATAGAGTAATTAATGAGAGCATTTACTCATTGCATTAAATGATGTCCTCCCCTCACTTATATAGGAAGTTTAGGGACCTTTTACTTCCCTCTTGGGGATTTTTTACATTCCTTTTTACAGGATATTCTTGGATATTAGTCATTCCGAATTAAATGCTAATTGTACTATGCAATCTAATCTCAATATCAGTGGCCCGTTCGGATTATGCCACGTGCCCCAACTTTTCCCTCGCCGTTAGATGGGGGATTTGGGATGATCTTAGCATTTAATGTGCATGGTACGACCGATTTGGACAATGATTACGACAGATTCTGCTTTCCTATGTTCGTCCGCCCGACGGGCGGCCTGTCGTGATCGTATTCGGTTCGTCCTTACACGTGCATTTCTATTTGTCACGTGACTTCCCTTCTCACCATCTGTTCGGTTTAGACCCCACACAAGTCCAACCACACGTTGAGTATTGGTTGGGTCCTAAAGCTGCTCGAGGGTGCATAAGCGTGGACATCATCAAAGAAGAATACGCCAAAAAGAAGGGTTTGTTGGAGTTGAGTTTCGATGAAGAGAGTGAAACCAACCCTGGTGAGGCATCGATTCTGAAGGAACGATCGGCGACTCCAGTGGACGCGAGCTAATCACCCAACTCAACCATGGTTCAGCTATGGTGCTCTAGGTATTGTCATCGAAAGATGTGACCCCTCCGAGCAAGGGGAAAGAGACGTTGCTTTAGACGGATTCCAAGCCTGTGGTTGTTGCCATGGAAGAGGCCACCTCAGAAGCAGATTGCTGATCCTACCACCGAGATCGTCCCAGTAGCCCAAGTCGAGCCCACTGCTGATGCCTAGGCCGAGTGGCCTTCAACCGATGAGACCTTACCGTTGGAGCCCTAGATGGCATCCTTTTAGTAACTACTTTTAGCCGAGTGTGGCCTTTGGACAATTATGTTTTGCTTTTGTGGCCGACTGTTGCCTTTCAACAATTTTCTCTATTTTTTTTTTTTTTTTGTTTGGGTTTGGAAAAGAACGTCGGAAAGATTTTAAGTAAATATGTTTTGCAGAAACTTTAAGCAAATAAGTTTGCAAAATGATATTTGAGAGTTTCGATAGAAATCGTCTAAGTAATTTAATAGTGTTTGTTCGTGAAGTTTTGGAAGAATAGCCTTTGTAGCTTTTCAACTTTTGTGACGATCTACACGGAACAACCCAATAGCATGGCCTTCACTGCTTTTAAGCAAGCCTTTATAGCAAAAATGCTTTTGAGGCGACCAAAATGGAGCTATTCAATTGCGTGGCCTTCGCAATTTGACGCTTGAAAGACGATCTAAATAGAATAGCTCAATTTGTAATGCCTTTATGGCGGGATAGCTTTTAAGGCGATGTGTATGGAATTGCCATATGGACTTCATAGCGTTGCAGCTTTTAAGGCCGTAAAAACAAATTGGCTCAATAGAATATGTAACTAACAATGTTCCACGAATACCAATCAAGGACGAAAACAAGAAGCATATCATTATGTAAACTGAAGTGTCCATCTTATTGGAGTACTTAGTATCAGCTAAAGATAGCAGCAGTATCTCAGAAAAAGTTCTACATAGCTCTCCATAAAAAAAGAAAAAAGGGGAAAACTAACCACATGAGCCACGGCCCACCCACGAGCTCTCAGTTTTTTTCTTTTTCTTTTCTTTTTCCCCACTCATTCGGTAGCCTTGCCTTTACGCCTGCCATTACCGCTCATTTCTAAAAGATAACAGACCATGGAATCAACGTCGTCCCCAAAAATGCTGTAAGCCTCGACCACCTGCAAATAGCTAAAGCCCATAGACAGCATAATCTGCATGCTGCTGTTCAAAACCGAACCTGGCGAGCTGGATTCACGCCTGCCTTCCAGCTTGGCATCACTTCCTGGTCCTGATAATTAAGTAAAAATTTGATAACATTAAATATATTCTTGCTTCTCATGCAAGATATTTTTAGTTGCAAAACTACACTGAGGTTTAACTCCAAAAAATATATATTTTTTTTTTTTTTTGTAAAGACAATTGTCCGGTCAATTTACTAATTAGGCCTCTAGTTTTCGTATTTAATTTAAATCTGGAAAATTTTAACAAGCGATAAACCAGATTTCCAATTTTGTGAACCATTGCAAACCAAAAGGGGAAAAAAAACTAAGATATTGCTAAAGTAAATCAAAAGAAAAGACGAGGAAAAAAATATGTAAATGAAAAAATAAAACTCGCGGCTTGTCCTATAATTACTTAACAGTTACAATCCTAAACTTCCCAAAATACTGCAGATAGCCCCATCCTTATACGTGGCTGTTCCTATTATCTTAAAAACTGACGATATGAATGTGGACTAATAATCAGGAAAGCTGAAGAATGTAATAAAACAAATAAAAAAATCAGGTGGCGGAAGTACTGAGTGATCCAATCTCAAGGGTGGTCTTTGTAATTTCTATAGTCATCAATTTCTTTAGTTATTTAGCAAAACTTCAAGGATAGTCTTTCTCATCATGCCCCTTGTTTGAAGTCAATCTAAAATCGCAGATATGATTCTGCAGATATCCATCCACACATAATATGCAGAAAGCAAGCACATTTTATAATGGAGAACAGTTAAGAAACTCACTGGCTGCAGAAGATGATGGTTCGGCTCTGGAAGTGGATGACTCCCTGTGACCGACCTGCTGCTTGAACTTGTCGTCAGCAATATACTCGGCTCTAGAAGCTTCCATCACCATTCGCTCAATTTCCTTCTCGGTCAGCTCAACATCAGAGTAGAATCGTCCCTCAGCAAGAAGTGCCTTACGTAACGAACAAATTTTTTTTTTCTCTCACTATCGGAACACATAAAATGTATGTTATTCTTTATTCAAAGCCACCAAATACTTACATTGTCAATTTGCTGATCTTGTTGAGCTTTAATAGCTGCTTTGACCTGATCCTTATCAACATTCCTCTGTCAAAAACACCATAATTGAGCGATAAATATACATATCAGAAATTAAGGCCAAACTGCATATGTTTCACACGTAATATTAGCTCAATTCAAATCGAACCTAGTTAACAAACGAAATTAAAATTCAATGCTATTTATAATTTTTAAACGAAAAAATGGATTTATTATGATTACTATTAATATTTTGTAAGTCAAACATACCCCTTGAAGAGAGCTAAAACCAAGGCCAGCTCCAATGGTCATTCTGCGTGGATCGACAAGGGAGTTATAGTGATTTCCGTGGTGGTAGCTGAGACGTATTGGGGGCGTATCTGTATTATAGCTTCCATGGAATATGTTGATAGGCTCTATGAACAGAAAATTGTTCATGTTAATTAGAGTCCAGCAGATTAACCAGAAATTAAGCAGAAGCACAAAGCATGATTGTATTAGAAGTCAAAAACACCTGTGCTGTAAGAATATATGTGAATAGGACGATTGTACATTTCTGATAGAGCCTGGATTTCCATATTATTTCCATAAACCTGGAAACCAGAAAAAGAAACCAAATTATGAATAATTAAGACCACGAAAATCAGGAAGACACCTATCAAGGAAGACAAGAATGCTTTTAACACTGAATGCTCATCAACAATAGAGCACTAATAGCATGGATACCCGACCATTCAATCGGTATCAGACCCAAAATCATGCAAAATTTAATCAATAGCTTCCACTCTTATCCGTCCTATTCAAATTATATGAGACTTCAATTCATGATTTATGAATTACCGAGAATTACAGACATAAGAACAAAAATACCTATATCATGCTCTTCATCATTCCGAACATTGAGAAAGACATACAAAGATATAGTAACAATTTCCTTCTCAAGAGACATTCATTATTCTTCCATGTCCCACGATAAACTGTAAGTGCAAAGATACTTCAATTATAGCTTAGCTTCAAGCAAAAACTCGACACCGGGCAACACAATGAAAAAATTCAAGAGTATGAGAACTTTGACTAAAATGATACCCTATTTCATCCTCACTTGTTCTCAAGACTAACTTCTTAAATCATCCTCCAGTTACTAAAGAAATATTCACCATACCAAACAATCAAGAACACACTTACACAGATTCCCCTCAACCATTAATATATTAATATTAACGTTGCAGTAATTTTATGAATATAGGGCTCACACAAATGCTGGTTGATAGACTTTTAATTTGGATGCATCGACAGATTATGTGACAGAACACAAGACAAACTTTTTCGGAGACAGTTAGTTTTTGAAAGAACACCAAAATAAAATCTTTCGATAATTGCTATTTACAATATCTTCTCAACTAACAAGAGATATACATTGAAACTCTTCATAAAATTACAGGACATAAGATTCATTTATAAGATCAGAATATCATGTACCTTATCCCTTCTCTTCCTCTTACAATAGGAAGTAAATCCTTCAGTTATAAACTGTGTAAAATGATCTCTTTCTCTCTCCTGCATGAACAGAAAATATACATGTCACGTTTAAATATATTTCGCAATAATGTTTATCCTCTGTGTGAACATCTGACCATGTTTGTAATGATTAATGAAAGTTAGAAAACAAAACAAGCCTTAATCCCACTTGCAGCCAGCAATTTTGATCATAACTCAATGTGACTAGTGAAAGTTTGAAAGTCATACTAGAACCCAGGCATACAAAAGTGAAGGGGTCCTAATGAAGATAAGAAGGCAACTCCCCGTACCATATAGTCAATGCACATCTGCCTAACCAAATCATATAGTTCAGAGTCACCATATACTTGATCTGCAACAGCACGGAAAAGGCAGTTCCCATCCTCAAGCATTTTTCTCACTTCCAAGCCTTTAACACGCCTCAAATCAATCACAAACTGATGTTCCCTTTCCTGCAACAGACAACACTGATAATCTCAAGCAAATGACAGTGCCTAGTATTCCAAACCAAATTAAACAGAACAAAACTTGCACATTCTGGAGATTTAAAAATCAGCAAACTAACAGCATCGATAGTCATGCAAAAAATATATGTAAACCATAAACTCGATTGAACAGAAGTTTTTGAGGAAACAAAGAAGTCAATCAGTAACAGAAAACTGATAGATACATTGGTTATGACATAAAACCATAATTTACCCAAGCTAAAGACGAATAGAAAGTTAGAAACTGACTGAATCATCATAGGATGCGTTAAAGCATGGACCCTGCTCATCAGCACTGTTATATCCTTCACCTTCACAATGGGACCTAGGTGAAGATGGGTGAGACCCAGTTGGGGATGACCTGCTTGACACGCCAGGCCAGCCGAAAGTTCTCCTAGACGACCCTATCCTCACTGCATTTGACTCGGCAGGTACATATCTTCTAGGATTCGTATACAGTGGCTTAGGAGGCGGAATGGGAGGAGGTGGTGGATAAGTACTGCCACTTACCGGGTGGAAGGAACTTCTGGGGCCCACGGATTCATTTTCTTCTTCCAGTGTCTCCAATACCCCAAACCCTTTTACCGAATTTTCCGGACCCATGGCTTCAGCATCACGTGCCTTCTTATCATTCTCAGATTTTTCACCTTGACTATGATCGACATTCGAAGTCCCCAAAGAAAAATCCCCGCTTTCGTTGACTGATACAACACATTTCTCTACTAATTCATCCGCAACAGTCTGCTCTTGAACTGGTGCTACCAAATTCTCATCTTTTACAGCTTGAACGACTTGTCCAGTGCCAGAAAAAGAGGAAGAAGAAGATGATGATGGTTGTGATAATGAAGATGTTGACGACGATGATGATGATGACCTATTTTGGTTTGATGATGATGCTGAACCACCAGAGCCTCGCTGCACTAAAATCCGCGTCATTATTTTTCTCCTTTAAACTCCAAGCAAAGAGCTTTTTATTCTCTTATTTTAAATATTTTCACCCCCAACAAAAAAATAAGAAGTTAGAGATACAAAGATGTAGATTTTGATTTATCGCGTGTTCTGGCCTTGGGGGCAGTAACGCCAATGCCACGTGTGAGCGATTTGTTCTTCCAGCTCAACAAGCTCTGATCCTTGAGAATCGTTTTCTGCATTCCCCTAACAATTCTCATGACACCTTGACCTCCAAATCTTACTTTGTAACAATAAAGCCCTCTTTGAGATAAAATGTGTGAATGTACCTGAGACGACACCCTAGATAACAGAAAACCAACTCCAGTATTATAAAGTTGAAATTCAGACACAATAAAGCAAGAATCGAGTATCTGGAGCTTATTAACCTCCAACTAAAGGAAAGATACAGATGCTAAAAAGAAAATAAGAAAAGGGACTGCAGGAAATCAAGAATCAGTAGCACAAGATGATCCAATGAGCTGCAACACCTCAGTAGCACCGTAATTTAACAGATACCAGGATAAATTAGCACGAGATGAGTCGAATTCACTAAAAATAATTTGGGGGTGGGAGGCGCGAGGAGGACAAAAAAGATACGAACTTTACGATCAAACAAAAACCCCAAAATCAAACGCAACACATGGTTCATAACTATTGCTACACAAAAAAAGATATGAACTTTATGATCAAACAGAAACCCCAAAATCAAACGCAACACATGGTTCATAACTACTGCTACACAAATCAATTGAATTAAATCGGCCACCAAGAAAATCGAACAGTTCAAGATTCGGATTTTCCGGTGCGAAAATATGAACCAATCAAATTGAATGCGCTAAAAAACACACGACTTAAGATTAGATAGACAAAAAAAAAAAAGATCCCAATACGAGCAGGATGAACAGAAATCAACAAATCAAACAACCCTAGAGTTGACTCGAATATCGAGTGAAGCTACTCACCTGAGCGAAGCTACGATAAAGACCGATAACAGTCCGAGCGGGTTGTTTCACCCAAAGGGCTTTCGGAGGATCCGCCTGCGAGAAGATGACTTCGGGACAAAGGAAGTGTGCGTGAGTGGTGTCTGTGTGTGTGAGAGAGAATTTATATGTATGCGAGTAAGAAACTGATAGGGGGACATGAGGAAGTAATTTTGTTGAGGAGAAATTGAGTCTGATTTTTTTTATAAAGGAGAAGAAACAAAAGAGAGCACGGGACTTGAAACTTATTACTAATAATGACCATTTTTCCCATTTCGTGTTTGTTTTTTTCTTCTTCTTTCTTTCTTCTACAGTTCACAAATGATTATTACTTAATGAGAAATAGCATACACGCGGACTTTTTTAAAGAAACTAGTGTGGATACGTGTAAATTATAAATTAATATTTTATTATTTGAACATTATTAAAGTATTTAATGTAATATGCTAATTGTATTGACAATATATATAATAACATAAAATTTATTTGGATATTTATTTTTTTATTTATTTATTTTTGTTAACAAAGTGTTTGAATTACAACGGAAACCTATGAACTAACTGAATTGTTCAGTTCGTACAAAAGAACTAAAACAAAAATTAAATTACAACTCGAACGCGGAGAGATTGAAGCCGAGGCGATTGAAATCTATCCGCAAGACAAATACGCCCCGTATAGTGCTGACGGGTCAGTGCGTAATGCCCCAAAGATACAACGACTATACACTCGGAAGCTGTAGCACACCAGCCTTCAGAGTCCAGACGAACAAGAATTAAATCGAGAACCGAGCACTATGATATGATGCGTGAGGCTTTGAGAGAGTTCAGAATGCATGAAAAATGTTGTATATCTTTCACTTGCAGCTCTAAGTCCTATTTATAGGACTTCCACCTCTGAGGGAGAACCAAAAGTTACATCAGTCACTTAAGGCTGAGATAAATGGCACCATTAACCTGAAAACGTTTCAGGTATTACTACACCATTAACCAGGTGTTACTACACCATTAACCAGCCATTAACCAGCCATCAGGTGTTATATT